TCTCTCTCTCTCTCTCTCTCTTTTGTTGGTGTGTGGAGTTAGCAAACGGTGTGTGGAGTTAATCTTGCCTTTTTTTTTTTCCGTTTATTTTCCCTCTTTCCCTCTACCACCCGCCTGTCTCTCATCCGTCCCACACCAGTCACACTGTTCCACATACGTGGCTAGTGGGATCGCCCTCCTGGAATCGGAAGTTCCGCCTGTGGAACGGTTGCCTTGTGGAGAACATTGTCATTTTTTTGACAAGGGACAGAGAACATCGGCGTCTTTTTTTTTTTGCCTCCGAGTTCTGAGTTTTTTTTTTTGTTCTTTGGTTGTTTGTTTTTTTGTTTCATGTCGTCTTGTGTTTTCCCTCTGATGTCCAGGTGTTCTGCACTTTGCGTTCATCGTTTTTGCCTGTTTCATAGCATTTCTTTGTCGCTCTGACGCCGACTTCGATCTCTGTTGCGAGTTGGCAACATTCTGAGAGGGTTCCGACATCGTCTTTTTTTTTCGCGGTTGGCGACTTTCATCATGTCGCAGGTCCGGGGGAAGGATCCGGTAGACTCGCTCACGACCGCCCGACAAGGTCATAACACGAAGACGTTTGACACGCCGTTCAAGGTCGACCCGACAGTCGACGGCAAGCGGGACGACCCGGTGTGGCATTTCGTGGTCAGAGGGCGTTATTTGGATGGGTCGATGGCGGCGGGCAGGAAGAGCGGTCGTCGATGCTTGTGCAGGTTGTGCGGGCGTTCGATTTGTGGGGGCGCTAAAGCCGCCAAGGAGCACTTCTCGAAGAGCGAGAAGTTCCGATGTGAGGCAGCCACTCCTACTGTGTGGAATGCGATCTGGTTGAAGGACATGACAAAATGTCCAAAGGAGTTCGCATCGGCCATAGAAACGTTGCAGAGCCACTTGCCAGGTCATCCGAGCTTGCAGTGGCCACCTCTTCGATTCCCCGAGGATGCAGTGTCGCCGCTTGTTCCTCCCACCGCCCCTTCTGGAGCCGTCGCATCGCCCAATTCGGGGGCTCCGGCCATTCGAGTCACGGTACCGCGTCCTGCAACAACAGTTGCAACACGACCGGCAGCCCCGTCGTCTGCGCCGCTGGCTGGGACACGAGGTGCTCGCGATATGGGAGTTGGTCGTTCCACGTCAGCCAACGAGCCCCCGCCTCTGAGGGATGGTATGGGCTCTGCGGCATTTGACGAGGAAAGCACACGTGCATTTATTGAGAGTCGCAGGTGGGGGGGGAGTGTCGGCAGTTCAGCGCCCGCGCTCGCCCCTGTTTTCAGGAGTGATAGGCAGTCAGATGCCGCATGGGGTGGTACTGCGGTGGCACCTGGCGCATCACCCCGCAGTTCGTCGGAGCACCCCTGGCTGCCACCGCCACCGTCGAGAGCGGCGCAACGTCCAATGGTCCACCACGCTMACGGAACCGCYCACCCGGATCCGTCACACRCACCTGCAGATGCTCGACATTCTGCTTCCGTGCCTCGTTTCGGGGAACAGGTGGATCATGGGGTGCCTGCCGAGGAGGTCCCCGCTCCGGTGTCCGATTCATCACCGACCCCTGTTCCGACAACCACGGGCGGTGGTCGGTCTGCCCCACAGCCTCCACCCATGTTGACCGGAACGTTAGACCCTTTGCAGCCCATTCGTGACCTTGCAGTCGCCCAGAGCGCGACACCTGTGAGCCCTGGCGGGTTGTTGGATGTTGGGGTCCTCGGCGGGAGAGCTACGACGGGACGATGTCGGGGCACTTACAGGCAGCAAGCCGTCAC